GGAATGGGCTCTCACCGTCACTCCCGGCTGTGCTGAGTCACTGCTAGGAGTGGTCTTAGCCCAACCCTAGCGGGTTCCAGGAGGCTCGGCACCCAGGGCCACCAGGAAACTAAGCCCCCTTGCTGGTTCCCCAGGGGGCAGGCTCTCGTGGCCGCCACATCAGCAGAAACTGTACTCAGTGGGGAGTGATCAGTATTTCCTGAGGGTAGTTTTTTTTTAAATTCCTGATAGCTCCCCCACCATGAAACTACAATGAGGACTTTTTAAAAAAGAACATTTCTAATTTGACACAACATTGTAAAATGATTATAAATCAATAAAAAATGTTTAAAAAGAAAAAGAAGAAAATTTAAAAAATAAAAATAAAAACATTTCTCATGTTCCATGAGTCCAGATGTAAGCCATTTAGGGCTGGTACAGCCACTCAAGAGAAGCCACTCAGGAGCAAGGAGCCTAGTGTGCTGGCTGTGCTATCTCTGCCTGTGGCTTCTGCCTACTTGCCACAAGGTGACCTCCTTCCAACTCCAAGCACTGTATCTAGTCTCCAGGCAGAAAGGAGGAGGAAGGACCAAGGACAAAAAGTGAAGATTACAAGCCTGGGACTGTCCCCTTTCAAAAGCTTTCCCAGAAGCCTCACCAGTGGCTCTGCCTGCCAGCCGTGCACCAAGGCTGTGGGACATCCCTTCAAAATAGACAGAGAGAGCTGGGTTTTTTGGTTTTGTTTTACTGCAAACCTTACCAAGTTAAGCAAATTCCAGGTTCTGAGAGTAAGATGAGAAGGAGAATGGAAGAGGCAGCCAGCAGTGTCTGCATTGCTGGGCCATCAAAGTCCCAGCATGTGCCAAGGAATCCATCGCCTACAGATCAACTCTGACCACAAATATCTAGCTTGAAAATGAAAAGCAAGACAACCGAGAGCCCCCAGGGCGGCTTCTGGAAAACATATTCCCCAAATAACCCAGGAGTCCAAGATGTCATCAAAATGGAAAATACGACACTACTGAGACCTGAGCCGTAATAAGGAAAATGATGACCAATCACAACTGGTTCAGGAGCTGAAAGGGCATTCAGAGTGGTATGTGTGGCTTTGAGTATTTATATGAGGGAAGAAAAAAACAAAGAAATTAATGAGCTGGGGGTCTGCCCGAAGAACGCAGCATAAAGGCAAATCCACGTTCCCAACAGTGGCGTGGCCTCCCGCTCAGAACGAGTTATCTCGTGCAGATTCACACCTGCGGGCCCTCCACAGTCACTACACTAACCAGACTCTCCTGTGCGCCCCCGTGTGGGTCACACAAGGATGAGTGCTTGTGAAGGCTTTCGCAACTTTTCCTGTGGGGGAAACAAATGACAGTTTCCTGTGCAGGGAGAGACTTCCTGTCCCATCTGACTCTTCGAAATTAAATAAAGTGACTTGTCAGAAGGCTCTCTTTAAGTGTCTGTTTCCCCAGGGCTTCAGAAACAAGAGTTTAAAAAAATTAATTTTAAAAACTAAATTTTGAATCCTTAACAAAGGACATTTGTGGGGAGAAATTTGAATATAGGTTGTGTGCTGATAACACACTTCATGTTAAATTTCATGAGGGGATCAACCATATTTTTATTAAAAGAGGAAAATGTCTGTCAGTAGACATTTCTCCTCGGGTAGCTCGTGTTTCCACATTTGTTACTCTGTCCTGGACCATGTCTTTGAGGATGTTTATACAGCAGACATCCTCAAAGCAGAGGACAGGATGGTTTCTAGGTTTGACCATTGTAAGAAAATGTCTCCCCTCAAGGGCAAAGACCAGGCAGCTCATTAGGAAAGCGGGGGGCTCCTCAGCTGTGGCACAAACCCACTGCACATGCAGCAGCCACGTGGGCTGCCTCACGCCACCCCTGTGGAACTTGGGGGTCCAGGGGAATTGACAGAAGCATGAAGATGCTGCTTGCTGCACTGTCATGAAGTCCTAGGTCTCTGACCCCAAAGTCTGGTGTCTTTGGCCGACATCCAACAAACTGTGGCAGGCTAACTTGTTAGCTTGGGATTAGGGAAAATTCTCACATCTTTCAGTCCCTGACAATGTCCTTGTTCTCATGCCAAATGCTAAAGAAGTCTTGTGTTTGTAATGGCTCATCCATAAAAGAAAGTTCTGCACAAGAAAAACATAAAACAACTATCAAAAAATGTTGACACTGATTCATCTAAGCGAAGGCAGGGACTTTGGGGGAATTCCCCCAACTAATTTTTGAGGCTAGCATATCCCAACCACAAAGGAACAGGATGACAGAGGATGACTGCAGGCCAATCTCACTCGGAGATGCAAAAACCCTACCTAGCAAACTAGGAACAATGACGTGTAATAGTTATGTGATGGCCAAGCTACCCAGGAACGCAAGGCTAGTATCACAGTGGAAAATCAATTCAAGTAATTCACCAGACAAACATGTTAAAAAAAAGTCACATGTATTCATTCATTCATTCATTCAACAAATACTAATTAAGTGCCTATTGTGGGTTCTACCATTGTTCTAGGGTGGGGTTCAGAAATACATCAGTGAACAACTATTATCATCTCAGGAGATGCAGAACAGACATTTGATAAAAAGGCAACATCTGTTCAGGAGAGAGAACACTAACACCCTAGAAAAGAAGGGAGCTTTCTTATCCTGAAAAAGATACCTACAAAAACGTGACAGCAGACACCACACTTAAAAGAGAAAATGTGAAAAGGATGCCCTTTAAGATGAAGGGCATCTTCATCTTAAAGGGCACTTTAAGATGGGACCACTTCTAGTCAATATGGCTCAAGCCTCAGCCAGAGACAGGCAACGGAAGTACAGGAAAGTTGTAAGGACTGAAAAAGGAGCAAATCAAATCTGTCTGTACTTTTAGATACGATTATCTGTAGAAATCCTCCGAAGACCTATGCATCCGTTATTAGAGTAAGAGTGTAGCCAATGTGCTACAAGCAAACTCAACATGCATAGAACATTATCTGTGAGGACCAACAGGATGTGTATACCTCTAGGCCTTCTCCAGAAATCTCACACCCTGATTTAGGTTGAAGTATCCGAAGCCTGTAAAAGGAAACTCTTCGATGTCTCCCAAAAAGTCCAAAAAGACTGCTTGAGGACACTGGAGGAGAAGCGAATTAAAAAGTGTGGCGCTGAAACTGTATGAAGAGGAGGAAGACCCTGAAAGAGAAGACCTCGTCAAGATAAACACCCCACCTGAACCCTGATAAACGAGTTAAGGAGTGTCACATTCCTTAGCTCATTCATTCACTGCAAAAAGGATTCATTAGCTGAACTCTAGCCTTCGACAAAATATACAGTTATCTCCCTCTACAAGGAACGCCACAACTGCAAGGATGACTTCAAAACTGAGTATCGTGAGTATCTCCCACCCCTGGGGATGGAGGCTGCAGCTACGTTATCAACATGGGTGCACAATGGAAGCACCTTTCATAAGAGCTTTGGTGAGCTGTAACTTACACACTGTAAAACTCAACCCATTTTAAATGTACAGGTCAAGTGATTGTTCATTAACTTACTGAGTTTTACAACTATGAGCATGAACCGGTTTTAGACCTTTTCCGTCAACCTGGTAAGATCCCACAGGTCTGTTCATAGTTAATGGGGTCCCCCCCACCAGCAGCCCAGGCAAACACTAAACTACTTTCTGTGTCTCCCTTTGCCCATTCTGGATACTTTGGAGAAATGGGATCAGACTGTATGTGGTCCTTTGTGACTGACTTCATTCACTGAGCAAGGTTCATCCATGTTGTCGCATGTTATGAACATTTGTGTGCAAGTCTTTGCGTGGACGTATCTTTTTATTTCTCTTGGGGTCAAACGGTAAATGTACATGTTTTAAGAAACAATCAGTTTTCAACATGACCCCACATCATTTTAGGTTCCCACCAGCAATGTATGCTCCCTGAACTTTGGAAGCTGCATTTCCTGGTCCCCCTTTTCCCTCAAGATCCATATTTGTCAATAGGTTTTTTTCCAGTATTGAAGATCCAGTGTCTACATGTCGAAGTTGTGCAATTTTTTTTTTAATAAACAAACCAATGAGGCGAAGTGCTTTTGGAAAACATGAGCCTCTCAACTTTCGTAATGCAAACTCTTCACCTTAAGACAAGTATTAGCCAGCCCAACTTCTGTTTCTATAAACAGTTTTATTGGTGCACAGCCACACCCTCTGTCTACTTTCTGGGGCCACTTTGTGCCACGTGGCAGGGCTGAGTAGTTGCAACAGAGACCATCTGCCCCACTGAGCCTGAAATCTTTACTATCTGTCCATTTTCCAAAAAAGCTCGCAGACCCGTCTTAAATGGTAGGTTTAGAAATGTGAACAAAATACAAAGAGCTAAACTACAGTTTTGGAGGGCTAAGAATAGAAAGAAACATATCAGGCTAACTTGACCTAGAACATTAAATCTGTTCTGCAAATTAACCCCAATGCAACTGCTTTGCGTTTATAGCTGTGTACAAAGCTCCTGTACAGAGCACCGGGAAGTCCACTGACCTACCAGGTCACGTGGACGTGGCCAGGCATGAAGAGGGGGAAAAAAAGAAGCCTACATCCTTACAGGGATGTTTACTTGGGTTAAACAACTGCCCGGGCTTCATGTCAGGTTTGTTTTCTTTTCCTGTCAAATTGCTACTTCTGTCATGCAAGACAAAAGCATTTCCATTTCCACAGTTTACAGCTCTGTCAACGTGGGGCAAAATCAACGTTATGGAAACACTGGGTGATGGAAACGTTTTCTATCCTGATGCAGGTGGTGATTATAGGGGTGTATACACTTGTCAAATCTCATCAACCTGTACATTTAAAATGGTGCACTTTATGTGCAAATTAAGTTTTGAGACAGAATTATAAAATTAAACATAGTTTTAAAGAGAGATATTCAAAGAAACAATTGCCAAAATGAAAAAAATATATTTAAAGATTTCTTTTTGGGTCTTGGAGATAGGGAATATAAAAAGAACAGATGGGGGCAGTGGGAATAGCTCAGTGGTAGAGCAATGCAGGAGGTCCTGGGTTCAATCCCCAGTACCTCCATTAAAAAAAATAAAGAAGAAGAAGAAAAAAAAGAACAGATATATTTAATGATAAAATCTTTGATTCACAATCAGCAGACTTCCATTTCATGGAGTTCATCTACTGACTTTGAACATAAATTATGTGATTAAAGATGTAAAGATTTTGAATTAATGTTGATTCATTATGTTGCCTCATTGTAGCCTGTCTTTTCAAAGTGCTACCCATTGAAAAGGAAAGTACTATGTTTATGAATCTATTTGGAAATGTTCAACAAAATTTAGTAGAATTTTTAATATACATTATCTCCAGCACTCAAAAACATCAGAAATATATGTCTACAAGGAAAAATATATTTTTAATATATTAGCATTCAGGATACTTTTTTAAAATTATGAAAAAAATGAAGTGCCTAGGAAGACATCTGATATGTGCCAGACCTCCACAGAAAAATACATAAAACTTTACAGAAAGACATTAAAGAATGCCTCAATCAATGCAGGTACTGAGCTCACAGCCTGAAAGATTTAATGACAAAGATGTTGACTCTACCGAAACTGATGCAATGCGATTCTAGACATGATACTACAATGATTTTTTTTTTTTGTGGAACTCTGCAAGCTTATTGTTAAACCAATACGGAGAAATAAAAGGCACAGAAGAGACAAGTCACGCTTGAAGAAGAACAAGTTGTAGGAACGTGCCTCTCGGGTACTAAAAAGAAAATAAGGCATATAAGTATTAAAGATGGTGCTGTGTTGACGCAGGATTACTGAATGGAAGGCCCAGAAACACAAAAACATGCACACAAGCAACTTATGGGACCTGGCTGTCTGATCAGAGTTCTAGGAAAATTGGTTATCTGCCAGGGAAACAATTAAGTCGGGGCCCTCCTGACACCACATATAAAAATCAACAATGGATAGGAAAGTATTTTAGAAGATATTCTTAGACAGATATTTTAGAAGATGAGAGAGTAGAACGTACTTATGACTACACGTTGTTGTCCCAACACAATGAGCCAGGGGGAGGGTGCAGCTCGGCGGGAGAGCGCGTGCCTCACATGCACGAGTCCTGGGTTCAATCCCCAGTTACCCTGACTGAAAGAAAATTTTAAATTAAGCCCCAACACAATCAGCCAAGGACAACCAGGGACAAAACCTAACAGTCTGACAGAGTCAGGTTTACCAGTTTGTTGCCAGCAAGGGAGACCACATCCTGAGGAACCACAGGGCGTCCCACCAAACAAAGACAGACATTGAAATCCACATGAAGTCGTGTTTTGAAAGCCTTCAACAGTAAAGCTGACTCTGTAAGTTAAAATACATCTAACAGATATCAGACAATATTTAGAACTAAACTAAAACCTTAAAAACCTTAAAAATCTTAACCCATGTAATGCAGCCTAATGGCGTACTTAGAGGGAAATCTATGGCCTTAAATGCTTATATTCAAAAATGCCGACTGAAAATTAAGGAGCTAGATTTCCACCTTCAGGGTAGAACCCTGATAAAAGCAATCCTACATTCTTAATGTCTTCTTTGCCACTCCGAGTTTCCTGGTGCAGCAGCTTTAAGCCCCAGCAGGAGGCCTCCTACAATGCAGAGGTCACAGAGTTGGTCTCATGTCAGACAGATGAGGCTTTCCTGTGTCTCTACTCCTGGGACTTGTCTTCCCTGTGAGTTCCCACATGCTTCCTACGTGCTGGGTGACTCCTGGGAAGTTCTCCCACAGTCTTCGTACGGCTACATCTTCTCCCTGGTAGGTGCCCTCTTGTGGGCAGTCGGCTTACAGCTCCTACTGAAGGCTTTTCCACAGTCACGGACTTGGTGAAGCTTCTCCCCAGTGTGGGTTCTCATGTGCATCGTCAGACGGGACTTCCTGCTGAAGGTTTTGCCGCAGTCACTGCACAGATGGACCTTCTCCCCGGTGTGCACTCTCCTATGTACAGTCAGGTTACTGGTCCTGAGGAAGGCCTTTCCACAGTCACTGCATTCATATGGTTTCTCCCAAGTGTGTGTCCTCTTGTGTTCCGTGAGGCTCAAGTTGGATCTGAAGGATTTCCCACACTGGCTACATTTATACTGTGTCTCTCCAGCATGAGTTTGCTCATGTGTCATAAGGGATGAGTTGCGACTAAAGGCTTTCCCACACTGAGAACATTCGTAGGATTTCGCGCCAGCATGAGATCGCACGAGGGCCCCAAGGGATGAAGGACAACTACATGCTTTCCCACATTCTTTACATTCACTGCCTTTCGCTCCTGTGTAATTTGTCTTGGGCAAAATCAGGTCAGGATTCCTTGGGATGGCTTTTCTACGCAGATTGTATTCATGGGGTTTCTCTCTGGGTTGAGGTGGTGCCTGTTGAGTAAGGGATAAGTGGTGACTAAAGGCTTTCTCACTTTCCTTGCACTGGTGGGAATTCGTCCCCATAGAAAGTGGGTAAAGAAAGTAAGTTCCCACATTAGAAGTTGCTACCATTTTTGGAGCACAGGTATCGCTTCTGCCCTGAGTTCAAACTGAGTAGGGGGGACTGTCCTGCCACAGGGTTCCATCACAGCAGATTCATAAGGCTTCTTATGTATAGATTTTTTCCCCCTGATAGTTGTTTAAAACAAAACTGAGAGAGAGGAGGGTATAGCTCAATAGAGTGCATGCTTAGCACGCTTGAGGTCCTGGGTTTGATCCCCTGTACCTCCATTAAAAACAAAAATGAATTATGTGTCAATGTTCACCATCTAAGTCATATTTATAGACATGCTTACTTCTGGACCTCTTCATGAATAGTTTAGAATGTTCCCCAAATTCATGATACCCACAGGCTCTCCTGAGACACAACTTCTCTTGGGTGAAGGCCACTGGCCCCAGGTGTCTCCCCGAGCTGTTGTGCTGGTCTTTGGTCTCCCAGCCATCCCAAACTTCTAATGTGGAGAACTAGCAATGAGCCCCCACAAGCCTTACCCCCTTCCTTCCAGGAAATGGTTTTCCCCGAACTTTATTCTGCTTTGCAGTGGTCTCCTGGGTTTTAAGTTGAGAAGTCTGGTCTGAAATGAATCAGAGGAAAAAACCTTTAAGATCTCAGAGAAATAAATGCTGAGATAAAAGTGATTTAAAAAAAAAAAAGCCAGGCCCCAATAGATTTTTTTTTTATACACTGGAGAAGAACAGGAGAAGTCAATGTGACAGGGGAGAATGCAGCAGCAGTTAAAATGTGAAGAATTCAACAAGGAAAGGAACAGGGGTGGAAATGGCAGGTGACTTGCTAAGAAACAATTTTGTTGAGAACGAGATGGCTATGAACGGTCTGAGAGAGGACACTAGCAGGCAAGCGAAGTTTGGGGACAGTGGGAAAAGGGGCAAATAATACACATGGAATGTTCTGGAAAGAAGAAGCAGGACAGAGCTTCTTCTGAGAGCAAAAGTGGGAAAAAACAAGGATTTACTGTACAGCACAGGGGATGACATTTGATATTTTGTAATTACGTATAATGGAAAAGAATCCCAAACAAAAGAATACACATATATACACATATGTATAACCGAGTCACTTTGCTGTACACCTGAAACCAACACAATATTGTAAATCAACTATACCTCAATTTAAAAAAAAAAGTGAGAGAGAAAAGAGAATAGGAAAGGAGAGGAAGGGAAGCAGAAGCTTCAAGGGAAAACTCACCCCAAGTGGCCTGAGATAATTTCTCAGAATGGAACTTCTTCCCCAGGGCTCACCTGCACAGGTGTCTTGGAGAACTCTCCCCTTCTTGGCCCTCAGGTCCTCCGGAGTGAGCAGGCTGGGCTTGCGGAGGTGATACCCTGCACACGGGAAAGACACACAAGGTAGGGGGTGTGCAGGGATGAAAAGGGAACCCCACTCCCACACCCAGAGTGAAGCCAACACCTTTAGAAGATAGGCACGTGTCACCCCACAAGCAGTAACATGATGGTACCCAGGGTCCAAGTCTGACTACCTCACACGATGCCCCACAGGGACCAGGGACCCTCAGACCCAAGCTCAGAGACACACTTCAGGGGTGCCATGAAAGCTTCCAATCTTGAAGAAACCTGAGTTGGTGCAATGGATGACTCTTCAGACACAGAGCTAGGGGTTGGTGACTGCAGCCCACGGGTTAGCCACTTGCTTTTTTTTTTTTGCCACCTGCTTTTTTAAATAAAGTTTTATTGGAACACAGCCCTGCCAATTTGTTTACACACCGTGTGTGGCAGCTTTGGCGCTACATCAGCAGCACTGAGTAGCCGCCACAGAAACCCGAGGGCCCACCGAGCTGAAGCATTTCCTCTCTGGTCCCTTAAAGAAAAGGGCGCTCACCCCTGCTCTGCACTGTTGCTTCTTAAGGATGCACCGCATCTCCTTCTGTGTCACCCTCTTCCCAAGACCAAGGACAGTTCCCGGAACACAGAAGGTGCTTGAGAAATGTTTGCAGCAAAAACCTAGGAATAGAGGAGGCCGGCCTCACTCACCCACGGAGGCCAGGTTCCTGTAGTTCTCCAGCATCACGTCTCGGTGCAGGATTTTCTGAGCAGGGGCCAGCAGGGCCCACTCCTCCTGGGAGAAGTCCACTGCCACTTCCTGGAAGGTCACTGGGTCCTACAACGTCACAGACATCCAGGCTCAGCCAAGGCCCATCCCCATCGCTGTGGAGCTCACGTCAGCAATCTCACCCAGCCCTGGCTATGTATTAGCTTGTCAACACCTGGTTGAACATTTCTCTCCAACTAGTCTGTGAACGTATCTGGTCTGAGTCCCCTAGTCAGGTGCCACACAGCCCTGAGCTCACAGTGGCCCGGGAGGTACACTTGGTAAAGAGTAAGTGATGGCCCCGAGAATCCCAGACGATCTCATAGCCTTTCTTGGTTTTCTATCACAGCCCATAAGTGATCATCGAGCTAAAGAGGACTGAAAAAAGTTCACAAATATTGAGGTAGTGAGGGTATTCTCTGGGAAGTCCGTTGGCCACCATTAGAGGAAGGGTGGGGACAGGTCCTGGTGGGGTTTGAGGCTCCGGGCCACGCGAAGGAGACACATCCACCCTCAGGGAAGGTTAAGGCCGTGTTGGAAGGCGGAGGACTTCCGGTTACCTGTGACCAGGTTGGCAGCAGCCCTGGAGCCATCACTTCCACCTCCATGTTCCCCTCTGGAGACAGGTCGGGTCTTGAGCTGGCACAGCTAGAGGACAAGAGAGGAGCCGTGAGACAGGCCATGCCTAGGCTCCACGCGCACAAGCCTGGAGGCTGCCTCCCATGACTCACAACCTTGCACGGAAGCAAAACACAAGCCCACTCGCCCACAGGCAGATTTCCTAAAAGGCCAGGGAGGTCCCGTCTCTCTCACAACCAGAAAGAGGGCCTGTGGGCCTTGCTGCCCGTGTGGAAGGCTGTCAACTCCTGTGACTGTTCAGGGTACCCAAGCTTCAGAACAGTTTTGCAACTGCCCAAGTTTATAACTTAAAAACAAGGAGTAATGTTAATATTACCCCCTCAATATCTCAAACCCTAAAAGGTGCCGACGCTGATGCAAGCAGACTTGGGGGCTCCTGAGGTTCCACTCCCACCTTGTCCTGGCCTTTGGAAGCCCTGGAGGAAAAGGGTCTCAGGAAAATAGTGGCCAGGGCACGATCTAGCTCGGGGAAGGTGCTCACGGGGGAAGAAGGCCCACGTGGGAGGGACGGGAGCCTGGTGACTGGGGTGGAAAGTGGGAGGAGGAGGGGTGCAAAGAGACCAGGGTCTGGGTCAAGAGCAGGGCAAAGGAGCACCTGGAGTTTCACCTTGGGACTGGCTCAGCAGAAGAGTATTCTGTTTCTGTTTACATTTTTAAAGCTCATATTGGCTGCTGTTCACAGGCAGAACTGGGGAGGGTGAGGACAGAAGCAGGGGGCTGGTGAGGGGCGGCAGCAGGGCCCAGGAGGCCCTGGAAGAGGCCAGGAGCAGCAGAGATGGTTCCAAGTGGTTAGCATGGTCTACATATCGGAGGAAACATCAAAGGATTTGCCAGAGAATTTGACTGGGGTGGAAGGGAGGATGGCGGGACATGCAGCCATGAAAGGGGGTAGAGAAACCAAGAAGGATCCAGTTTTCATACAGACAACGTTGAACTTCACACCTGA